CAGTACAGTGCCAAAAAACTGACAGCCCTATATTCAGCTTTTGACAACCAGAATGCACTCTTTTGTTTTTGGACCTTGATATTTTTCTTGTATGCAGGAGAGGTAGAAGATTATATTGTTGGGTGCAGCTTTTACCATGCCATCATTTCCACCCAACACTGAATGTACAATTTTGTTGAAACATTTGGAAAGTTGTAAATATAGTACAGTGCCAAAAACTGACATGACTCTAATGTAGATGATAATGGTGCAAAAGGGGGAGGGGGGATTTAGAGTTCATGCAATAAAGGAAAAGCAAACTCATATAGCTCAAAGCCAAAATTAAAAGTCTACAGAAGACTGAGCACTAGCAGCAGCCAGCTCTGTAGTGGAGAACAAGAAGAAGGATAAAAGTGCCATCTATGGTGTCCTTTTATCATGCAGCAGTAAATGACCGCTGCTCAGTTCTCTGGAATTCTCAGAGGAGACAGTTCTCCTCTGAATGCCTGTTCACGAAGCGGTGTAGATCGCTTCTCCTAATGAAGATAGAAGTGATCTACAAATGCTTTGAACTCTAGAAAGCATATGCTGTTACTATAATCTTGCGAGATTACAGTAAGAGATCAGTCAAACACAGTTTTCTAAGCAGCTGTAAATTACTGCTGCTTGGCTTGTGGCTCTCTCAGAGGAGATCGCTCAGTAACAGACACACACGAGGGCTCTGATTGAGGACGAAGGAAGTCAATAATCTTCCTCCTTTCTCCTCAGTTCTCTTGGGATTCACTTTTCTCTCCCCGATTCTCCACCTTTGGGCTGGAGAATCTGGAGGGAGAATTTTCACACAGATCGCCATTGAAGGGCTGACATCGCTTCTTCATACATTGGCCATTTCGGTGTCTGTAAGGGACAGATTCTCTGTGTGCAGAGATGATCAGCAGAGAACATGTTCTCCACTGATCATCTCTGTTTCCTAAACCACTAATGATCTGAGATCAGCAACAATCCTTAGGATCGCTGCTGATCTCAGTTTCATAAAAGGACACCTATGTGTAGTATGCAAGACAACATTTAATGTAGCAATGTTAAAAAAACTTCAAAAACTGCAAAGAAGGATCACGCTCATCATAAACAAGAAGCCACTGTTCCTGCCTCTCCATGCTGCAGGATCCGCTAATAGCTATAATGCGGCTGTAGACTGTGTGGACAGAGCCAAGAACGCTGATAGGGATCCCAGAACCATCCCTGGCTGGCTTCTAGAAGCCTGTAGAAGGAGCAGTAAGCTCAGAGCACACAGCCTATTGCTTAGCACCAATCTTTCCCTGCAGCTGATGTCACATCTGCCCGCCATGTGCATTCCAAGCCAGCCAAGGACGGTTCCAGTTTCGGTAGTATTTTCACTACTGTGAGTTTTATATTTTATTTTCCAGTTCATTATAGGTTTTAGTGCAGAAATGTACTAAATTTACCATATGCATGTTATTTTATTATTTACAGTATTACTGTGCTTTAGATTTATAAGTTGATTTGCAAAGCTTACCATACATATTTTGCCCTAAAATATCTCCCCTGGCAACAAAATTAGCTAGAAATATGGGCTTCCAATATTAAAATGTTAATTCTATGTGGAAAACAAGGGTTTCATAACAACACAGCAGTGTTTAGTTTAATAAACATTAAAATTAATTAAGATAAAATTAACAGTGCATGCAAATTAATTAGCTTAGTGAATTGGTGCTTTTTGTGCTTTCAGGACTTCCTAAAGAAAAATAGAATTTCTCTTCGTTATAGTGCTCTATATTACTCACCCTCTTCTGTGACAGTTACCATCCGATGGAAATAGAGATCTGAAAATAACTATAATTTTCAGTCATTTGGAAAGATTAAAAGTGACCTATTAGACATTTTGTACCAAAGAAAATGTTAGAGAGAAAGAAGTGCCTGCTCAGAATACCTGTCTCTTAAGCAAAGATAGTTTAATATATATATATATTTATAGTATGTACACTACTGAGCAAATGTTTTAGGTAGGAGTGAAAAAATGCTGTAAATTAGGAATTCGGTTTATTTTTTATCAATTAACAAAATGGAAAGTAAATGAACAGAAGAGAAATGCAAGTAAAATTAACATTTGGTGTGACCACCCTTTGCCTTCAAAATAGCATCAGTTCTTCTAGGAACACTTGCACACAGTTTTTGAAGGAAATTCGGCAAACAAACTGCCTCTTGCTACAGCCAAATATTTCAAATTTTGACTCATCAGTCCTGAGCACCTGCTGCCATTTTCTGAACCCCAGTTCATATGTTTTTATGCATAGTTGAATCTCTTAGCCTTGTTTCCACCTCAAAGATATGGCTTTTTGGCAGCAGTTCTTTCATGAAGACTATTTGTGGTCAGACTTCTCCTGACTGTAGATTGGTATACCTTAGTATCACTGGTTTCTGCCAGTTCTGTGATGATGGCACTGCTGCACATCTTCCGATGTTGAAGGGAACTAAGCATGATGTGTCTTTCATCTGCTGCATTAAGTATCCTTGGCCGACCCCTGCATCTATGATCCTCATTGTTGTTCATTCCTTTGTGCTTCTTCAAAAGAGCTTGAACAGCAAATCTTGAAACACCAGTCTGCTTTGAAATCTTTACAAAAACATAAAAACAAAGAGGGTACAAATGCCTAGCACACAACTGTAAAACAATTTATTGAAAAACATAAGAGACAAAGGTATTACTCACAAACCAAGTAGAAAATTGGCATGTGGTTGCAAAAACACACAATATGGACCGCTCTCCACCTCCAACTGGAGACAAGATGGTGTAAACCCTGACGCATTTCGGGGATCCTGTCCCTGAGACTTTGTTTGTTTTTGCAACCACATGTCAATTGCCTACTTGGTTTGTGAGTAATACCTTTGTCTCTTATATTTTTCAATAAATTGTTTTAAAGTGATGTCCTAGGAGTTTGCGCCCTCTTTGTTTTTATGTGTTTGTGCAGTGTTGGATTTCCCCGGTCTGTGGAGGGCTGCAACGCCATTGCTTTCCAGTTCTGGTAAAAAGGTTCATGGGATCGCACCTAGAATGATGGTGTCAAGTTTGACATTTTTTTCACTTGCTTTGAAATCTTTGCTTGGGAGAGACCTTGCTGATGCAATATAACTACCTTGTGTCTCGATGCTGTGCTCAGTAGTGATAGGCTGAACACCCCCCTGTTCGGTTCACGGTTGAACATTAGAACCTAACGAAAGTTTGAATGCAGGAGACAATTCAATAAGCAGTATCTTACTGCTTCCGAGTATGCGGTAAGATACCACGCAGCATTTTTCCAAAGATTCCATTCACAAAAAAAAATTAAAATACCGCATGAGTTTTTTTGTTAAGTCATGCAGTATTTTAATAGTGAAAACATGCATTACTGTTTCAGCTGTTCTCCACTGACAGCTAATTATAAAAAGAATTGCTGACAATTAAAAGTTTAGCAAAAAAAATGGCATGGGGTCCCCCCCATCCGTACCAAGTTCTTTGGGTCTGGTATGGATTTAGAGTGGAACTCCCATGCCACAATTTTATAAAAGAAAAGGTGTGGGCCCCCCAAATCCATACTAGACTTTTATCAAAGCATGCAGCCTGGCAGGTCAGGAAAAGGGGGGGCAAGCGAGTGCCCCCCTCCTGAACCATACCATACCAGGGGGGTGCTTTGGGGCAGGGGGGGCTCCTACCCCAAAGCACATTGTCCCCATATTGATGGGGACAAGGGCCTCTTCCCCACAACCCTGACCTGTGGTTGTGGGGGTCTGCAGGCAGGGGGCTTTTTTGTAATCTGGAAGCCCCCTTTAACAAGGTGGCCCCCAAATCCTGGCCCCCCATGTGAATGTGTATGGGGTACATGGTACCACTACTTGTTCACAAAAAAAGTGTAGTGTAAAATATGATAGTACTGTAGATAGTCTTTGACAAGTACTTATTAAAACAACAAACATTTTAAATATGTCCCCCGAAGTAGATCCAACGTCAATCATGATGCCTGCTGCTACCACCGACCCAAAAAAAGAAAAAAAAAGGCTACGTCCTCGATGCTGGCTCTTGCGGCCTGACAGTTCTTAATGTAAGGGGCAGGGCCACCCAGTGATGTCAAACAGGTGACCCAACCCCCTCATGACATCATCGACCGAGGCATGCTGGGTCAGAGTGCAGTGCATTGTGGGGTGCGGCAGGTTAATCGTTCATGTGTTTGCATCAAGGACATCCCTAGTGCTCAGTCTTCCCATGGTTTATGACAGCTGACATGAAACTTTCTTCCACAATCTTAGTAGCAGAGTTTGCATGTTCCTCACCCAGTTTTTAAGGTGTTTCTGTTAATGACTGTGTTTCAACCTACATATGAAATTGATAATCATTAACACCTGCTTGGTATATTTGGTTAATCATACACTAATCCTACAAAATCCCTGACTTTGTGCAAGTGCAAGAATTGGTGCTGGTTTGAAGCAAAAGGGTATTCACATCAAATATTGATTTGATTTAGATTTTTCTTCTGTGTATATATATATATATATATATATATATATATATATTTATACTGCCAAAAGTATTGGGACGCCTGCCTTTGAACATACATAAATTTTAATGGCAGTCCCAATCTTAGTCCGTAGGGTTCAATATTGAGTTGGCCCACCATTTGCAGCTATAACAGCTTCAACTCTTCTGGGAAGGCTGTCCACAAGGTTTAAGAGTGTGTCTATGGGAATGTTTGACTATTCTTCCAGAAGCGCGTTTGTGCGGTCAGGCAGTGATGTCGGATGAGAAGGCCTGGTTCACAGTCTCCACTCTAATTGATCCCAAAGGCATTCTATCAGGTTGAGGTCAGGACTCTCTGCAGGCCAGTTAAGTTCCTCCACCCCAAACTCGCTCATCCATGTCTTTATGGACCTTGCTATGTGCACTGGTACGCAGTCATTTTGAAACCGGAAGGGGTTATCCCCAAATTGTTCCCATAAAGTTGGGAGCATGAAATTGTCTAAAATGTCTTGTCTAAAATGTCTTGGTATGCTGATGCCTGAAGAGTTCCTTTCACTGGAAACCAACCCCTGAAAAAAAGCCCCACACCATAATCCCCCCTCCACCAAACTTTACACTTGGCACAATGCAGTCAGGAAAGTACCGATCTCCTGGCAACTGTAAAACCCAGATATGTCCCAGATTGCCAGACAAAGAAGCATTCTTCATCACTCCACAGGACACGTCCCCATTGCTCTAGAGTCCAGTGGCGGCATGCTTTACACCACTGCACTCGACATTTTGCATTGCGCTTGGTGCTGTAAGACTTGGATGCAGCTGCTCAGCCATGGAAACCCATTCCATGAAGCTCTCTACGTACTGTTGTTGTGCTAATCTGGAGGCCCAATGAAGTTTGGAGGTCTTTAGCCATTAACTCTGCAGACATTTGGCGACTGCTGTGCACTGTGCACTTCAGGATGCACTGACCCCACTCTGTCATTTTACGTGACCTACCACTTCGTGGCTGAGTTGCTGTTGTTCCCAGTTGTTTCCACTTTGTTATAATACCACTAATAGTTGACCGTGGAATATTTAGTATCAAGGAAATTTCACAGATGGACTTATTGCACAGGTGGCAACCTATCACGGTACCAAGTTTAAATTCACTGAGATCCTGAGAGCAACCCATTCTTTCACAAATGTTTGTAGAAGCAGTCTGCATGCCTAGGTGCTTGATTTTATTCACCTGTGGCCATGGAGGTGATTGGAACACTTAAATGCAATGATTCGGAGGGGTGTCCCAATACTTTTGGCAATATAGTGTATACATATTACACACACCACTGAGATTATCACAGTGCACATATGCAGATATGACTGATGTGGCCAGAGAAATTATTTGCACACAGTTTCATATACTGGTACTTAGCATGCATATACATTGTATCATAAAGAATTGGACTTTTTTATTTTAAATACTTTGTTATCCTTTTGACATCCAAGTGCTGTTTATCTCCTGCAGCCTATTTGTTAGCACCTCCTGTCTACGTGCATGCCTTCCAGAGATTGCAGCAAGGCATTTTTAAAGCCACGTTTCCTATAGATGATATTAGTGAACCATGTCTACATAATGTGTATTATAATAGCTGCTTGTAGTCTCCATCAGAAGTCTGTGTGACAGTTTAACAACAAAGGAATACAACTAAGAGACAGGCATAGTACACTGTCTTCCTATAACTGGAATTTAAGCAGGAACAGGTATTATGTTAATGATGGCTACAAATTTAGAAACATTAAGATAATGTTTGAATTTTCAACATCTTAAGGATTATATAAGATTTTAATGATTGAGTTTACATATACTTTATAATGAAAAATATATGATAATAGGCCCAGCTTAAATGAATCTATGTAATCATATTGATTTGTATGTATTGTTCTTTTACAAAATAAAGATTAGATATATAAAAATGTTACAAAAATGACATAAATCATCAGCCTATAAACTTAGAAAAAAAGCTAAAAAGCCATTATAATTTCCTTTTAACATATGTCATAGCCATGTAACAGCTTAAAATTGAATTATAATACAGTCAATTCTATACTGTTTTAGTTATTGTATGCCTAAAATATTAGTGGTTACTGTAATAGCACCCTAACAGAGGCTTTATGTAAATGCCAGCACTCATGACAAACAGCTCAAACTATTTTCTGGTTTTAAATGCTGATGACATGTCAATGACAATGTTAAGTGCTTCGGACCCTAACACCACAAAAAAGAAATTTACATTATGTTCTTTGGCTTTAAAAAAGCAATGAATACTGAGGTAAAGGATACAACTGTATGTTCTGAAATTATTCTATTCTACCTTGAAATAATGTTTTCTTGGCCTTTCTGCCAATTCAAGCATTTCTTTTTTTCTTTTTTTTTTGCTTTTTCTTTCCTTCAACTTTTTAGATTCAATATTTCTGTTTAAATAAATAAGTCTTGCAGATTGTTATTATGATGAAGACATGTAAAAGTTCAGAAACAAATCTAGGAGCAATGGATTATAGATATATTAAGACATTCTCACAATACATGATTAGCTAGACTGCAATAAATGAAAATTTGCCTCCAATTGCATGCTTAGATATTAAAAGAAGATGACAGTCTTACTGATATAGGGAAATTCAATGCTCTGAAGCTTTCAATTGGATTAGGATAAAATTGCTAGGGGTGCTGTATCTGCAGGCATCTCCCTGCATAATAAAATAACCCAGCAGACCTTGTACAGAGCACTGCTGGCCTATTACTCATTTTAACTGGTTGAAAAACTTCAAGGTCATTTTGAAATGTATTTTTTTTATATTGTTTAGAAGACACATAAAGTTATGTTATTTGTATGTATATGATCAATTAATAAGATTCACACACATGTAAACTTGTTTTAAGTCACTCCTAAGATAGGTAGCCTAAAGGCTCATGTTTCCCATTTTAAAATAAGCCTTAACTCTTTTACTGCCACCAATGTGTATTGCTGTCAGCGAGGGGTTTTACACACACTCCTAGCAGTTACAGCCACCAGAAGTGTGTGTATATCTGACAAATCTGACTGTCAGATGGAAGTGATGCGGTGGCTGTGCAGTCACCAGTTCGCTTCCACACATCTCCATTACTTCAGGCCACCTTGCATGCTCCCTCGCTGTGTTTCCCAAGTTCCAAGCTCCCATCAGCGAACCTGGGACCAGCATGGCAGGTGACACTGGGTAGAAGGGAGTGAGACCAGTGAACATCCATTCGCTGATCTCCCCTTTCTGTTACTGACCCAGAAGCGACGTGTAAAACCTCACTTTTTTTGGGTCCTGGTCTCACTTTGCCTAGTCAGTATGGCTGGACAAGAAATTAATATAGGGGACTTTTTGTGATGACAAAAAAAGTAAAAAAAAAACACATTTTTTTTAAGTGTAAAGAAAAATAAAAATTACATTAAAGCACCCCCCCCCCCCCCAAAAAAAAATGTGTGGAGCCCCCACCCGCATCCACATAGCTGCATATATGAACATAAATGCACACGTTGATTGTGTTAAACATGTTACATATCACTACACATGCCGAAATGAGAAATGGAACAGTGCTATGGAAGTGCATGTGAAATATCTGTGAATCAGTCAGTTTTTGCATTTACCAACATATGTCAACTGTTTAAAAAAATTACAATGACAGGAACATTTTTTATATGTTTTAATATATTTGATATATGTTGGTAAATGAACAAACTGACTTTGATTCACAGATATTTCACATGCACTTCCATAGCGCTGTTCCATTTCTTATGTATTAGAGTCACTGGATGCAATTTTACTGAAACTCATATAGAACAGCAAGCTGTGGTTCATACGCATTCACATTTCTTTTTTTTATCCTTGATGCTGATAATCCTGGCATAGACGCTGGAGTGAGAGCAATAAATCTAGGCCCATTGTTTACAGTTAACTCTAAGGCTAGCCGTACATTATACAATTTTCTTGTACAATTTTCTTTAGATTTACCAAAAGCTTATAATATGAGGTCAAAGTTAAACACTTTGAATGCAATTGGGCAGGCCCTTGCGCTAGATAGTTGAAGGTATATCTCAAGGAAATTAAACAAGAAAATTGTATAATGTATGGCCAACTTAAAATGATGACCTGTAGGGGCTTTAAAGCGTCGCCTGTGAAAAATACAGGGTTTGTGTTGGTTTCACAGGCACATTAAATGTTAAGGCTGGATATCTATTTTTTCACTGCAACCTCATCTTTTATAATTTACCAAATATGGGCAAAATATGACAATATAATTATGTGCCCTAAAATTAACACTAGTGCATTTTTACCTGAACTTTTGCATTTCATAAACTGTTGCGCATTAATACTGTGTGACACAAAAAGTTGGAACTACCACTATTTTATTCTCTAGAGCAGGGGTCCTCAAACTTTTTAAACAGGGGGCCAGTTCACTGTCCCTCAGACCGTTGGAGGGCTGGACTATAGTTTAAAAAAAAAAAAAAACTATGAACAAATGCGGACACAGTACAGGAGATGACTAGAGACTGCGGACATACAACATACAACATACAGGAATACTGGGCCGGCCGCTCCATAAAATGCACAGACAATTGCAGACATTTCCCCCCAAAGTGTGTCTTATGGAGCGAAATAGTGCCCCATCATTGGTGTCAGTGGGAGGAATAGTGCCCCATCATTGGTGTCAGTGGGAAGAATCGTGCCCCATCATTAGTGTCAGTGGGAGGAATAGTGCCCCATCTTTGGTGTCAGTGGGAAGAAACGTGCCCCATCATTGGTGTCAGTGGGAGGAATAGTGCCCCATCATTGGTGTCAGTGGGAAGAATCGTGCCCCATCATTTGTGTCAGTGGGAAGAATCGTGCCCCATCATTGGTGTCAGTGGGAGGAATAGTGCCCCATCATTGGTGTCAGTGTGAGGAATAGTGTCCCATCATTAGTGTTAGTGGGGGGAGGAATAGTGCCCCATTGTTGGTGTTGAGGGGGAGGAATAGTGCCCCATCGTTGGTGTCAGTGTGGGGAGGGAATAGTGCCCCGTCAATGGTGTCAGTGGGGAAAGGGGATAGTGTCCCAACATTGGTGTCAGTGGGAGGAATAGTGTCCCATCATTGGTGTCAGTGGGAGGAATAGTGTCCCATCATTGGTGTCAGTGGGAAGAATAGTGCCCCATCTTTGGTGTCAGTGGGAGGAATAGTACATCATTGGTATCAGTGGGGGGGAATAGTGCCCCGTCATTGGTGTCAGTGGGGGGGGATAGTGTCCCAACATTGGTGTCAGTGGGAGGAATAGTACCCCATCATTGGTGTCAGTGGGGGAAGGAATAGTGTTCCATCGTTGGTGTCAGTGGGGGGTGGAATAGTGCCCCATCATTGGTGTCAGTGGGGGGAGGAATAGTGCCCCATCGTTGGTGTCAGTGGGGGGGAGGAATAGTGCCCCATCATTGGTGTCACTGGGAGGAATAGTGCCCCATCATTAGTATCAGTGACACCAATGATGGGGCACTATTCCTCCCACTGACATCAATGACACTTAACTTGCTGACCCCTGCTCCAGCATGGTGCTGCTGCAGCCAGCATACCTGGTTGCAGCAGCACCATCAGCACGGCACACTTACCTGTCAGCTGTCCTTCTTCACTCCGGCTCTCCCTCACTCGATGTACGCGGGACCGCTCGGCTCCGCCTCCTCGCAGGTGATTGGCTGCCTGTGTGCCTTTCCTGATCTACAGTTCTGGTGCCCAATCACTGGTGAGGAGGCAGAGCCGAGCGGCAGGAGTGAGGGAGTGGCCAGAGTGAATGAAGGAGCAGCGCTTCCTGGACTGGATCGTCGTGGGACTGGGACCGGAGCCAGGTAAGGTATAGCAGCCCCCTGCGCACCCCTGTACTTAGTGTCCCTTCCTCGCGGAAAATACGCCCCTGCCGGCGGGCCGGATAAATGGCCTCGGTGGGCCGCATGTGGCCCGTGGGCCGTAGTTTGAGGACCCCTGCTCTTGAGTGTCTGTTTTCAGAAAATATTTATTATGTAAAAACTCAACGAGCGCTTATTAAGAAAGCAGCTAAGCACTAAAAAGGAACCATAAAACTTTCAAAAAGACACATAAAATATTCGTGCAGCACTAAAAATGTAAATGAAATGATAATGCAATCCTAATTTACAGTGAAACTCGAAAAATTAGAATATCGTGCAAAAGTTCATTTATTTCAGTAATGCAACTTAAAGGTGAAACTAATATATAAGCTCAGAAAATTAGAACATTACATGCAATCAATAAACCAAGGATTGTACATAGAACAATATCGGACCTCTGAAAAGTATAAGCATGCATATGT